GGGGTCAGCAAAGGGGGGGATTCCATTGGGAATGAGGGGAGAACGGGGTCAGGAAAGGGGGGATGGCATCGGGAATGAATGAGGGGAGAATGGGGTCAGAAAATGGGGGGATTCCATTGGGAATGAGGGGAGAATGGGGTCAGCAAAGGCAGAGATTCCATTGGGAATGAATGAAGGGACAATGGGGTCAGCAAAGGGGGGATGGCATCGGGAAATGGGGAAAATGGGGTCAGCAAAATGGGGGATGGCATCGGGAACGAGGGGAAAATGGGGTCAGAAAAGGCAGAGATTCCATTGGGAATGAGGGGAGAATGGGGTCAGCAAAGGGGGGGATTTCATTGGGAAATGGGGAAAATGGGGTCAGCAAAGGGGGGGATTCCACTGGGAATGAGGGGAGAACGGGGTCAGCAAAAATGGGGTCAGCAAAGGGTGGAATTTCATTGGGAAATGGGAAAATGGGGGTCAGCAAAATGGGGGATGGCATTGGGAATGAATGAGGGAAAATGGGATCAGCAAAGGCAGAGATTCCATTGGGAATGAATGAGGGAAAAACGGGGTCAGCAAAGGGTGGGATTCTATCAGGAATTTGGGAAAACTGGGATGAGCAAAGGCCGGGATTCCATTGGGAATTGGGGAGAACAGGGTCAGCAAAATATGGGATTACACTGGGAATGAATGAGGGAAAATGGGGTCAGGAAAGGGTGGGATTGCACTGGGAACTGGGGAAAATTGGGATGAGCAAAAGGCAGGGAATGAACCAAGGCCGGGATTCCATTAAGAATTCAGGAAAATTGGGATGAGCAAAGGCTGGGAATCCATCGGGGGGGCAGGAAATGGGGGGCGAGTTCCCAAGGAAAGGAGGGATTTTGGTAAAAGGGGGGGGATTTGGGGAAAAAAGTGGGAAACAGTGGGGGGAAAGGGAAAAAAGGAGGAAAAAAAGGAGGGAAAAAGGAGGGAAAAAGGAGGAAAAAAGGAGGGAAAAAGGAGGGAAAAAAGGAGGAAAAAAGGAGGAAAAAAGGAGGGAAAAAAAGGAAAAAAAAAGGAAAAAAAAAAAGGAAAAAAAAAGGAAAAAAAAAGGGAAAAAAAAGGGAAAAAAAAGGAAAAGCAGGGTAAAATGTGGAAAAGTAGGAAAAAAAAGAAAAGAGAGATAAAATGGGAAAAAAGTGGGAAGAAGTAGGGAAAAAATGGGAAAACAGTGGGATAACTGGGAGAAAAGTGGGAAAAAGGTGAGGGAAAGGGGGGAAAAGAGAAAAAAGTGGGAAATAGTGGGAAAAAGCAGGAAAGAAATGGGAGAAAAGGGAAAAACGGGAAAAATAGGAGAAAGTGGGATAAAAGGAGGAAAGTGGGAAAAAGCAAGAAAAAGCGGACAAAAAAATGAGAAAAAAAAATGGGGAAAAGCGGTGGGGAAAAAGTTGGGATAAAGCAGAAAAAAAAGTGGGAAAAAACTGGGAAACACGAGATAAAACGGGGAAAAAACTGAGGAAAGGTGGGAAAAGAGTGGGAAAAGCAGGAAAAAAGCAGAAAAAAGTGGGAAAAGCAGGAAAGAAGCAGGAAAGAAGCAGGAATGAAGCAGGGAATCGCCGGGACTCACCATGTGCAGGCCGCCGTTCCAGGGCAGGGCTCCCATCCTGTCCCTCCTCCTCATCCCGTAGGGACCGCGGCCCATCCCCGCCATTGCCGGCATTCCCAGCATGCCCAGATCGCCGGGATAATCGCCGGGATAATCGGGATAATCGCCGTAATCAGCGGGATAATCGCCGTAGTCATAGTCGGGGTAGTCGGGGTAGTCGGGATAATCGGGATAATCGGGATATTCCGGCCCCAGCGCTTGGGAGAAGAGCGAGGGCAGCCCCCGAGCCGCCCGCGTTGCCGCCGCGTTGCCCGCGAATTGCAGCTCGTTCCAACGGGAGCCGGCCGGGAACGCTTCCGGGAGGCGGCGCCGGAAGTGACGGCGGCCGGAAGCGACGGCGGGAGCGGCGCCGGAAGCGGCGCGCAGGAGCGCCAGGGAGCCGCGGGTCCGGGCGGGGTCGCGGGCAGCGAAGGGAAGGTTCCGGTCGCGGTCGCGGTCCCGCTCCGGGGCGGAGTCGCCCGAGGCGAAGGCGGCGCGGAACGGATCCCGGCACGAGCGGGAGTCCAGGGACGAGAAGGAGTCGAAACGGAAAGAGCTGGGAAAGGATAAAAACGGGATTAAAATGGGAATGGAAACGGGAATGGGAATAAAAATGGGAATGGAAATGGGAATAAAACGGGAATGGGGTTGGGGAAATGGGAATGGAAATGGGAATGGAAACGGGAATGGAAACGGGAATGGAAACGGAAATAAAAATGGGATTAAAATGGGAATGGAAACGGGAATGGGAATAAAATGGGAATGGAAATGGGAGTGGAAATGGGAGTGGAAACGGAAAGGAAACAGGAATGGAAATGGGATCGGGGCCGGGGAAAAATGGGAATGAAGAAAGGGATTAAGGGTGGGAATGAGGGAATGAAAATCAAGATTAGGGCTGGGAAAAGGGGCCTGGAAAAATCTGGGGACAAAACCATCGAAACCATTCCAGAATTCCACAAACTAATGGGAAAAACGCTGGAATTTCAGGACAAAACCCCAAAACCACTCCAGAATTCCAAAAATTAATGGGGAAAACGCCGGAATTTCGAGACAAAACCCCCAAAGCACTGCAGAATTCCACAGATTAATGAGAAAAACACCGGAATTTTGGGAAAAAAAAACCCCAAAACCCACCAAAAAAACGACTGGAATTTCAGGACAAAACCCCAAAACCACTCCAGAATTCCACAAATTAGTGGAAAAACACCGGAATTCCGGGACAAAACACCCAAAACACTGCAGAATTCCACAAATTAATGGGAAAAACGCTGGAATTTCGGGACAAAGCCCCCAAACCCCTGCAGAATTCCGTGGGTTTCCCGTTCCAGGAGCAATCTGGGATGCCCCGGGCCGGAATTCCCACCTGTCCTGCTCCTGGCGGCCGTCCCCCGCCGTGCCCTCCTTGGCCAGCAGGTCCAGGCGCTGGTTGATCTTGGCAATGATGGAGTCGGAGCCGCCCTCGGATCCCAATCCCGGTGCCGATCCCGAGGCGAAGGTGGATCCCGAGGATCCCAAGGCCAGCGAGGATCCCGAGCCCGCGGCGAAGGCGGATCCCGATCCGAAGGAGGATCCCGCTCCGTAACCGGAGCCCGACCCCGCCCCGTAACCGGAGCCCGACCCGAAGGCGGCGCCGGAACCCGACGAGCCCAAGGCCAGGGCGGATCCCGCCGACCCGAAGGCGGCTCCGGAGCCCGAGCCGAAGGAGGATCCCGCAGAGCCGAAGGTTCCCGAAGATCCGAAGGTGGATCCCGAAGAGCCGAAGGTGGATCCCGAGGAGCCGAAGGTGGATCCCGAAGAGCCGAAGGTGGATCCCGAGGAGCCGAAGGCCGCTCCCGATCCCAGGGATCCCTCGCTGGATCCCAGCCCCAGCTCCGAGGCCTTGGGAGCCTCCCAGGAGCCGCCCGGGGCCGCCCCTCCCCCGTAGCCGTAGGAGGCTCCCGGCGGCGTCGGCGCCGAGCTGGGCGGGGTGTAGAACTCATAGCCCTCGTAGCCTGGCGGTGGAAGGGTTAATTAGTCATTAATCGATTGATTAGGGGGTAATTAAAAGGGGGAATGAAGAATTAGAGGGGTGGGATCCCAGCAGGAAAAGCCATGTGGGGGGTGTAGAACTCATAGCCCTCGTAGCCTGGCGGTGGAAGGGTTAATTAGTCATTAATCGATTGATTAGGGGGTAATTAAAAGGGGGAATGAAGAATTAGAAGGGTGGGATCCCAGCAGGAAAAGCCATGTGGGGGGTGTAGAACTCATAGCCCTCGTAGCCTGGCGGTGGAAGGGTTAATTAGTCATTAATCGATTAATTAGGGGGTAATTAGGGAGGGGAATGAAGCATTAGAGGGGTGGGATCCCAGCAGAAAAAGCCCCGGGATCATTCCAAGGGAATGTGGGGGTGTAGAACTCATAGCCCTCGTAGCCTGGAGATTAATTGGTTAATTGGTCATTAATAAATTAATTAGGAGCTCATTAAGAAATGAAGAATTAGAGGGAGGGATCCCAGCAGGAAAAGCCCCGGGATCATTCCAAGGGAATGTGGGGGTGTAGAACTCATAGCCCTCGTAGCCTGGGGATTAATTAGTTAATTGGTCATTAATAAATTAATTAGGAGCTCATTAAGAAATGAAGAATTAGAGGGGAGGGATCCCAGCAGGAAAAGCCCCGGGATCATTCCAAGGGAATCTGAGGGCTCTGGGAATTTTGGCTCTGGATTCAGAGCCTTTGTAGCCTGGGGGTTAATTGGATAATTAGTTAATTAGGGGGTAATTGAAAATGGAAATGAAGAGTTAGAGGGGTGGGATCCCCGTAGGAAAGGCTATGGAATAAAGG